TTGTGGCAAGTGTGTTTTTTTATGGGCTTGAGAAATTGGTATAGTGTTAATATTTATACAAGTATAAATATAAACTTGGTAAAGAAAGGTAACCATGCATGAGAAAAATGGTACTTTTTAAAATGGAAATAAATATAGTTCAGTTTATTAGCATTTAGTAAGGAGACTCATTTTTTAATTTACTCTTAGGAAACGGAACTGATGTTAGGCACAGGTAGAAAATAGTGGTTAATCACACAGCATGAACAATGTAGACTGTGAGGACACAGGTTGATTTTCATTACAGTTGCTGTTAAGTGCCATTGAGCTGATTCTGACCCATAGCGACCCTGTATAGCATTTCCAAGGAGCAGCTAGTGAGCTTGAACCACTGACCTTGCAGTTCAAACTTTGTAGTCTAATGCATTAGCCCACAGTACCACATCAGTATTAGATGCTTAATACGATATAAATAATTAAGAGGCAAATCTAAGGTGCTTTGTCTTGGGATGATTATCTCTTTCCCAGAGTGTGATCTGATGATAGTTCCAGAATCCTTTTTATTGTTAAGTGCTGTTGAGTCGGTTCTATCCCATAGTGACCCTGTACAAAGGTTTCCAAGGAGCGGCTGGTAAGCTTGAACCACCAACTTTGCAGTTCAAACCGACTTCACAGTTCAGCCTACAGCACCACTCCAGGACTTCTTTAATCCTTTAATTACTTGAAAAAAATAACAGGGGGGCTTCAAAAAGTTTGTGGAAAAATGGAATTAAAGATAATGGAAGCTTTCTGTGACTTTTTGATGTTCCCTTGTATATTCTTCTTTGTCAAATTTCACCATAGTGATCTATATTTTTGTTGCATTTATTTTTATTTATTTATTTATTTATTTTTTTTGGTGTTTTATTATAAATTATGTGATAGTTTACTTCGGGGAAGACCAGCTTTACATTCATTTTATCATATATCGTTTCATTTCCATGGTTACAATCCCTTCCATGCCTCATCAACCAACCAAAGGTTATACCCTGCAAGCCTGCCCCCTGGTCATCAGCACACAGCCCCTCTCCCTCTCTGGGTCTAGAGTCCCCAGTCACTCCATTTTTCCACGTCATCATCTCTGCCTCCATCTTTGGTGTCACTGTTTCTCTGGGTAGGGTCCTGCATGCCGCTCTTCTCCTTTGATGGTCCCAGGGACTGCCGCTCCTGGACTGCAAAGTCAATCACTCCCCTCCTTTTGCTACAAAACGTCTACCTTACATTTCCAACCTTCACAGTCAGTCCTTTTAGCAATTATTTCACTATTGTACCACAAGAAACCTATCCCCATCTCCTTTCATTCATTTACTCTTTTAACTTCATATCAATGTACATGCAGGTAGTTTCTCAGTTTGCATGGATTCAGGTTAAGACAAACCACATTTTGTTTTTGGTACATCTTATCCTGAGTAGAAGGATCCCTAATAGTGTTGTGGGTTAAACATTCGGTTGCTAACTGCAAGACTGGTGGTTCAAACACACCAGCCACTCCACAGGAGAAAGATGAAGCTGCCTGCTCCCGTAAAGATCTACAGTCTTGAAAACCTTAAGGAGCAGTTCTGTTCTATTCTATTCTATTCTATTCTATTCTATATAAGGAAGACCCTAGAAGAATTGATGCATTTGAGTTATGGTGTTGGAGAAGAATTTTAAAGGTACCATGGGCTGCCGAAAGAACAGATAAATCTGTGTTTGGATGAAGCACAACCAGAATGCTCCTTAGAAGCTAAGATAAGCAGACTTTGTTTCTCATACTTTGCACATATTATCAGGAGGGACCAGTCCCTGGAGAACGACATCAAGCTTGGTAAAGTGAAAAAGAGGGAGACTCTTAAATAGATGGATTGGCATAGTGGCAACAGCAGTGGGTTCAAGCATAGCAGCAATTGGAAGGAAGATACAGGACTGGGCAATGTTTCATTCTGTTTATGTAGGGTTGCTATGTATTGGAAATGACTCGTTGGTACCTAACAACATCAGTTGGAAATAACTTGATAGCAGTGAGTCTGGTTGTGGTATTGTTAGTAATTTATATTACATACAGTGTTGCAGTATGTAATTTGCTGATGTTATCACTCTGTTTTACATCAAAATATTGACGACTAGCACACTGTGACTACAGTGAAGTTGGGATTGGTGTCAGGAGTCTTAACAGACAGAAAGTTGGGTACTTGAATTGTATATGCACCTGACTCCTGGTAACAATTGTGATTGATGCAACCTTCATTGTAGACCAGGCCTATGGCATGGGCATGATCTTACTCAGTATTTCATATCATATGAAGCATTGCTTATTAATTTGGTACTGAGTTATTCATGTTTCTCTATAACACATATACCACTTATAGGTCTGGCACTATGTCTAGCAAAATAAGTCATTCTACTGAAAGTTCTAATCAAAGAAAGGTGAAAAAGGCTCTATATATGGATATAAAGATGAAGATCATTAAGACCAAGATAATGGAAAGAAAACGTGTGAAATAGCATGTGAGGAAAGACTGTTTAATTCTAACATTTTGACAATTGTTAAGAATATAATTTTGGCAGCAGTTAAAAGAGCATAAAGAAAAGGCAATGGCTAATCTACAGAAGAAATGGAGAAGCTGTTAATAATATGGATAGATCAAATTCAGAAGAGAATTTGTTTGGGTTTACTGACAGTTACACCCTCGGAAACCCTGTACAGGGTCGCTATGGGTCGGACCCGACTCGATGGCACACAACAACAAACAACAACTGACAGTTCAAACAAAAGCAAGTTACCTATTTGGAGTTACGTGAATTCTGCCTCGTGAGATCTTGTTTTGCTGTTGTTTATTTTGGAAGACAGCAATTATGCCCATATAGCCAACATCAAACAAACCCACACTGAACTATGCTATACAAATGGCACACTCACCAGGAGACAGATGGTGAATGTCTAAGGGCTGCTAGGTTGGCGGTTCAAGTCCACCAACTGTTCCTTGGAAGCCCTATGTTGTTAAGTGCCATCGAGTTGGTTCTGACCCATTGTTGTTGTTGTTGTTGTTGTTAAGTGCCTTCGAGTCGGTTCCG